TTTAAGTATAGAAATTCAATTCTAAATTATGAGAGTTAACTATTTTATGCTTTTGTTTTAATATTACATTATTTCTTTAAAAGTTTCTTTAACATGTATTTTAAAAATACAAATTAAGGGTGCATTTTTTTTTAATAATTGTATGAAAAATTATAAAAATAAGCCAACAACCTAAGTAATTCAGTGGTCATATCTTTTCGTTAAAAATAAGAGGTCTTGTATTCAAGTTGCATGGCATGCGGATGGGGTGAGATAAGGGATTGGAGATGGTTGCCTTCCATTGTGCAACCGAGATAAAAAAAAAAATTTGTTTTCAATATTAGGTGATTTTAATTGGTTAGTTAATAAAATTAAAATTTATTTTTATATTTTTTATAAAAAATATATAAATATATTTTAAGTTGTATTTCAAGACACTTGTTAAAAAAATTATTTTTTAAAATACTTATATTTGTGTTTTATTATTTTTTTAATAACAAATTTTGTTTTAATTAAAGAAAAATAATGACAAAAAAAAAATTAAGAGAAGCAATGAGGTGGCAAATTTGCTCCTGAGATGTCACCAAAAAAAAACAAAGAAAGAAAGAGAAACAATGCTGCCGAAAATTAGCTCCTGCCTTGTGGCCAAAAAAAAAAAAAGAAAGAAGAAAGAGAAGCAATGTTGTCGGAGATTTGCTCCTACCATGCGGCCCCAAAAAGAAAAAAAAAAAAAAAAGGAGAAATAATGCTGCTAGAAATTTGCTCCGCACATGTAGCTACTTACATGGCAACACGTGATCACATATGTAGAATTTTGTTAACAAAGTTAAGGATGTCAATGGGGTTCCACGGAGTCGGGAAATTTCTCCCCGTTCTTACTCTTGTGAATGGTGGGAACGGGAATCCCGGTGGGGGTTTTTAACGGAAGGGTAGATTATGCCCCCTATCCCCGTTCCTCACCAATTAATATAGAAAATAATTTTTTATATATAATTAATTAATATTTAATTATAATTAATTAAATTTCTAAAAATTAAATTATAATTAACTAAATTTCTTTAAATATAAATCCAAATATAAATTGTCTAAACATAAATAAAGATTAATCCAACATAAATAACTAAAAAGTTAATAATGAGTTGGGTAAAATTGAGTTAAGAAGGGGGAAGAGGTACAGCAGTCGGAGGAAGAAATCACAAGAAGAAGAGAGGATTTCTTACTTCTATGGGAAAACATGAAGAGCAAGGAAAGTATGCTGCAGCAGAAATCTAGAAAAACATGGTTGACCCTCGGCGATGCCAACACAAGTTTCTTTCACAAGTGCGTCAAGGGGAGATGGAGAAGGAATGAAATGACTTCTATTCAAATCAAAGGTACACAAATTGTGAGTGCTAGTAGAATGAAGGAGGAGATTGCTTCCTTTTTTGAAGATATCTTCAGAGAAGAACAGTGGGACAGACCAAAGCTAGAAGGGGTGAGCTTCAAGCAGATTTCACAGTTAGAAAATGATCATCTGGTTGGAGCTTTCAGTGAGGAAGAGATAGATGCAGCGGTGCGAGAGTGTGACAGTTCAAAGGCGCCTGGACCAGATGGATTCAATTTCGGCTTTGTCAAGAATGTGTGGGAGCTAATAAGGGAAGATGCAATCAGATTCTTGCATGATTTCCATAAAAATGGCAAGTTGGTTAGAGGACTTAACACATCTTTCATAGTCCTTGTGCCGAAAGTGGATAACCCACAGAAGATAGAGGAATATAGACCCATTTCCCTCATCGGCGTTATGTGTAAAATCCTTGCAAAGCTTCTTGCTAACAGGTTAAAGGTGGTCCTTGATGGGATTGTCGGTGAACAACAGATGGCATTTATTAGAGGAAGGCAACTAATGGACGGAGTAGTGGTTGCAAATGAGGTGATTGATGATGTAAAGAAGAAGAGGAAGGAGACATTCTTGTTCAAGATCGACTTTGAAAAGGCGTATGATAAGGTCAGTTGGTAATTCTTAGATTATATGATGCAACGGATGGGGTTTTGTGTAGTTTGGAGGAACTGGATCATGGAATGTCTGAGAACAAATCTGGTATCAATTCTGGTAAATGGCAGCCCAACAAGGCAGTTCACTATCACGAGAGGACTCAGGCAAGGGGACCCCTTATCACCCTTCCTATTTTTAATAATTGCAGAAGGTCTCAATGGACTGGTCTCAGCTGCATCTCAGAAAGGGTTACTGGACGGAGCAGAGGTGGGGAGCAGAGGTGGGGAGCAGAGGTTTTAAAGTTTCTCACCTGCAATACGCGGACGACACAATCCTTTTTGCTACAGCTAAAGAGGAAAATGTGTGGGCAATGAAGGGTGTCTTGAGAGCTTTCGAACTAGTCTCAAACCTTAAGATAAATTTCAACAAAAGTCATTTGATCGGCATACATGTGCAAGAGGGTTGGCTCAACAAAATGTCATGGGTGCTTTGCTGCAAAGTTGGGGTTTTTCCATTTAAATATCTGGGCATTCCCATTGGAGGAAGTAGTAGAAAGAAGGCCTTTTGGAGACCGTTAGTGGAACTATTTGCTAAAAACTTATCTGCATGAAAGGGTCGGTACTTATCTCTTGGTGGACGGATTACCCTTATTAATTCAGTGCTATCCAGTCTTCCTGTGTTCTGGATGTCGGTGTATCTCATCCCAAAAGGTACGATTCATTCACTTGATAAAATTCGTAGAGGTTTTCTTTGAGGTGAGGCTGCAGGAGAAAAGAAAATTAATTGGGTGAAGTGGGAACAGGTCTGCAAAGATAAAAAACAGGGTGGTTTGGGGGTTAAGGATCTGAGAAAATTTAATATAGCCTTATTAGGAAAATGGTGGGGGAGGATAGTCATGGCAGATAAAGGACTCTGGAAAAAGGTTATTGCGGAGAAGTATGGACGGGTAAGGGAGCCTAGCTTCAATTGGTTGAGGGAGAACATTAATTTTGGCTCATCTTGGTGGAGGGACTTAAGTAGATTGAATGATATAGATGACGAGAAGAAAGGATGGTTAGTGGAGGGGCTGGAATTAAAACTAGGGGAAGGGGTTGACATTAGTTTCTGGTGGGACAAGTGGTGTGGGGATGGGTGTTTAGCTAACAAATATCCTAGACTATACTTGTTATCTGCAGGAAAGGACTTTAAGATCCCACAAATGGGAGTTTGGCTCAATGACACTTGGATGTGGAGTCTAAGATGGAGAAGGGCCCTATTTAGCTGGGAAGAACATCAGGAACTCGAGCTCCTGAAGGAGATTAACGAGATAACAATCGTAAGAGGAAGACCAGATCAAAGGATATGGATTCACAGTACAGATGGTAGCTATACAACCAAATCAGCATACCAGTTACTTGCTGCAGATCATAGAAACAGCCAGCAGGGGTTGGCTTTTCCAAAAGCATGGAATCCACTTATACCGAGTAAAATCTCAGCATTCTCTTGGCAATTGCTACAAGGTAAAATTCCAACCAAGGATAATCTGTTGAAGAGAGGCGTGGTTCAGGACCCTGGTGAGTGTAGATGTGAATTATGTGGTGCAGGGGAGGAAAATCCCAGCCACCTTTTCGTTCAGTGTAAAGTGGCACGTGATCTATGGATAGCTTGCTACAAGTGGTGGAGAATTAAAACAGTAACTGATAAAGATTGCTTGAGATTTTTTGAACAACATTCCAGTATGCTGAAAACAGTGGGGTTGAAGCAGGGATGGGAATGCATATGGTTTGTAGTGATATGGACAATTTGGTTGGCTAGGAATGGAAAATTGTTTAAGGGGAAGGAGGTGGATAGTGGAAGGTTATTTGAACTGGTCCAAATCAGGGCCTTCAGCTGGATTAAGGGCAAAAGGAGCGATAGCTTTTTTTCCATAGCTGATTGGATCCAGAATCCTGTAAACTGTTTGAGTTTTAATCGCGACAGTAGAAGGAACCTCAAAAGAAAGCTATCTGAAATGGAGGTGGAGCAGTGAACAAAAAGATGGAGGTGGAGCAGTGAACGAAGGCTTCTTTGAGCAATTTTTGACTGCAGATTATGTACCTGAAGCATTGAGGGTCTTTGGAGTTCTAAGCGGCAGTAAAGGTATGCTCAGAGTAATAGCGGGATGCTAGCAAAAATGTTTTTAATGATCAAGATAGTGATTGGTTAAGTTTTTGCATCAGTATAGTAACTGTGAGAAATGGAGAAATTGCAAAAGTGGACAAAAATCCGACACGGGTGTGGTGTCGACACTAAAATTCAACACATAATTTTGGTATCGACACCATACTGCAGGCATCAGGATTCCTACATGGACACACAGAAGGGCTAATAGTCTCATGTAATTTATGTCTTTCAAGTTGAGATGTTAATGGGTTTGGGGTACCCCTTGTATTCCCTTTTTTTTTAATAATAATAAATATTACTTTTGCCGTTCAAAAAAAAAATTGAGTTAAGTTTAAATTTTATTGAATTGGATTTGTGTTTGAAAGTTAAATTAAATTTAAAATAAAATTAATTTAAATGTTTTTTAAATTTTTTGTGAGGATGAGGATCTCTACGGGACCCGCTGGTGAGAAAATTCATGGGGAGAAAATACCCTTTATCCTTGTCTCGTGGAAAGGAATATTCCTCCCTGTCTCGTCTTATTCCCGTGGTGAGGATCCTTGCGGAGCCCTGCGGGGATCCCTGCGAAGCCTCACGAGGATAGAGGCAAATTGGTATCCCTAAATAGAGTTAATGGAGTTATGTCAGGTAGACGAAAATGAAACAATTTTGAAAATTTATGAATGAGTTTGAAAGAAAGTAAAGTTTTTTTATTAAAATTAAAAAAAAAAAGTTAATAAATGATTTATTAAATTAAGTCTATTAAAAAATCACCTTTTTTTTATAAGACAAGACAAGTAATTTATCTTATAAAGAGGGTAGTTATATAAATTTAAATCTTCATCAAATAATGAGAAAATTTTTTATATTTAAATATTTAGTCAATAAAAACCTAAAGGCCCTTCCTCACATTAAAAAGTTCCTTTACCTATGAATCTAATGAAACCACTTTGCGAACTAAAGTGAGCATTGGACTTGTAATGCGCGTGAAAAACTCTTGATAATGTCTAAAGGACCGTCAGTATAACTTATAATTGATCAAAAAGAAATCAGATTATATATGGAATAGTTGCAGCACTAATCTTTTAAAAATGATAGTTACAATGGAGTCGTGATGAAAAATTTAGATCATGATGATGAAATTGGAGATTACGTAGAGATCCCAATGCCTTAATTAAAACACAAATGGGAGTCATAGGATTTCAAATCATAAAGAAAATGACATTTATACTGACAGAGGAAGTGGCTGTAAAATATCACGCATAATTAATTGCTAGTTGCACCAGCAGCCCCAGGTGGAGAAAGAATGCCAAAACCCATCGTTGTTAAATTAAATTAAATTATTCTTGTAAATATGAGAAGGGAAAAATTATAATTAAATCCCCAAACTTAAAGTACACGGTAAAAGTAATAAAATTAAAGTTTACATTATATCTCATACATATTCAATAGTTATAATTAAATTTATTGATACTACCAAGATATCTTAATTTTTCCTTATCTTTAACTTTTCTATATATATATATATATATATATATGTATATGGCTATTCATGATATGATTTAAAACTTGGTTCAGTGATCAATCCATTTTAGTCACTGGGTCTGATTTAACTGGTTAGACCAGTTTAATTAGTCAAGCTAATTGATCAATTTACTAATTATTATTTAATTTATTTTAAAAATCATAAATTATTTATACTTTAATTGATTTTATTTTTAAAATTGATTAAAATCATTTTTATATCATTTTTATATTATTAATTAAAGTAACTATTAATTTTTAAGACTTTAATTTTAAAATTTATTAATTTAAAATTAATTTCATTCATTAAATTTATTAAAATAGATAATATTTTGAAATGTCCCTAATAGCATGTTTGGTTTGAAAGAGGTGATGGAAAAGAAAGGAGTGAAAATTTCTCTATTTGATTAATAAAAAATTTGGAAGGGATAGGGGAATAGAGAAAAACAGAATGATATTGTATCCTTTCATTTCCCTCCCTTTCTCTTTATTTTTTTCAAATTAAACATACTGTAAAGGATATCTTAGAGGTTAAGAGATTAAATCTCTATATTAAAGATTTCAAATTTAAATTTTGTGATGGGTAAAAAAGGGATGGGAAGCAAAGGACTATCCTTTGCTGTATATCTTATCATCCTCTCTCCTTACGGCTTGATCAACTTCATTAAAGCTGTAATCCTTGGGGGTGGGTGACTTGCACTTTGGGTCAGATTAGTCTAAACTTTTTAACCATAAAGGAGAATTCTATTGAAAACAAGAAGTGATGCTAGGTATTATTGTAGGTTTAAAAAGCATAGCTACAAAATAAAGAAAGGAAGGATCCGTTTGGTGTAGTTGAAACTTTTAATGGAAGTCCTTTTTTGAATAATCTGTTGTAAAAGTCATTTTTGTTAAAAAGTTAAAAGTGTTTGGTAACATTTTTTGTCGAGAAACTTTTAAAGTGGAAATCTGTTTGGTAAATTTTTTTATAAAAGATATTCTAATATTGAAATGTCTGAAAAGGATATTTTGTTTAAAAAAGTATTGTTTCTTTTTTTTTTTGATATTTTTATGGAGCTTTAATTCCTTTTTAGTTTCATTATGTTAAAGTTGATGATTATAAATGAAATTTCTATATTTATAAAATATAAATGCTACTAATATATTTTTAATATTAATAGAGAAATAAATGCTTATATTTTACTGTGAAAAAAAAATAACAAACTACATTTAAATTTTATAAATAAGATAATAAAAATAAAAATTGATAATAACAATTATCTTGACTGACTTTCCATTAAAAAAAACATTTTCTTTAAAAAAGCATTGTTTCTCTTCTTTTTTTTTTTT